TGCTTTTGGGACCATCTGGAGCAGCAAGTTTGAGTTTGAGCAGGACTCACCAGGCGAATTAAATTTGATATATCAAATGATAGAAAAGATGTGTCAGTAAGTGGGGACATGGGAGTTTAAGGCAGTAAAATCTCTGCTCTGTTGTACTTCATAGGTAAACTCCCCTGGTAATGCATGAGAAATGGAAGCGGTAAGCCTCGGTGAGTCTAACGGTAATTTATGTACCAAGAGGCCAGAAGAAAGTCATGTAGCAAGAAAAACGAGTAGCAAGAGACACTGTTAAAACTTGCTGTGCCTGGTAGTTTACCGCTGTAACAAAGATGTAATCCGTCTTTTAGAGCCTGAGCTCAAAATTATCCTCAAAACAATTGGGGTTTGATCCAGTGCCATCTCAAATCTTTTTCCAAGCCCCTCGGGGATTTTGGAGTTGACCCTGTACGCAGTGGGCCAGCCACCAATCGCTGCCACCCTGGGGGAAATCCAGAGAAGTCCTGATGACATTAAAAATAAATTACCTTAGACTCCTGAAGATCTCAGTTAAATTAGCCATCCCGGAGCATTAATACACAGCATCCTCCGATCTTGCAGCACCTGAAACGCTCAGAGAGTGTGATTAGGTTGCCCTGCAACATGCCCAGTTGCCCCAACTTCAAGAAAACCACAAGCCCGTGATGCAAACCCTTGAACAAACCTCCAACCACAGCACCTGGAATAGCTCAGCTCTGCCCAGCGATGGCAGACTGGCCCCTAGAAGGGAATATTTTTCTGGCTCCTGCCACGGAGCGAGGTGATGGCTCGTTTTTCTCCCTGCACGGGCACGGCCAGCTCATTTGTTCACTGTTTTCCTCCCCAGTGTGGTTCCGATTTTATGGCTCAGACTATGCCCCCCTATGTCCATGCTTTTGGTCTCGTGCCACCATCCCATTTACCTGGCAGCTTACCACATGTCTGCCCCTAGTGCTGGATTGCTTCTGTTTCCCTCTAACTTTGGCTCCTTGCCTGCAGAATTGCTTTAATTAAAAAGTTAATGAAAGGTAATGCATACAAGTGCTTTGCCTGTATTTTATCACAGTCCAGCTCCTCTCCCTCCCTCTTTCCCAGAGTCGGTGGAGATGAGGAGCTGGGGTTTTGCTGCTTTTTCTTGTGAGAGTTTTAGCAGTGTGAGTTTCTGCAGGCTTAGGAGGAGCCCTGTGAAGAAAGAGCTTATGATGGTAATGCACGCCAACAGGTATGGAGATGGTGAACATTATTCATCAGTGAAAGCTGAGGAAGTTTTCATTTAAAGGGGATTAATCTAAAGCCCTTACAGTCCTCCTGCTCTCTTTGGAACATGCAATTCTTAGCATCATTTTCCTCCTAAGCGAGTGTGAACTTCTAGAAAACTTTCCAAAAGACTATATTCCAACTGCAAATTATCCCAATCAGGGACAAAGCGAAGGTGTAGAACCCGATCCCACTAGTGCCTATAGCACATCACCCTACATCCATATGGAAGAGGGCTCGTCCTGATGTGATTTCCATGAGAAACTGGAGAACAAATTAGTGCGTGAAGCAGCGTGAGTCACATCATTAGCCCCTTCTCCCCCCCGGCCAGCTGTGGGAAGAGGAAAATGCAGGGATGTCAGGATGTAATTTCCCCAGGTGCGAGACGCAGCAGCTGACTGGCAATTACATCATTTCTAGACTCACCATCCGTGGAGGTCGTCTGGGAGCTGCCATTTGGATTATTTTTTTTTCCAAGGCTGCCTATGCCCTGGCGTGGGGTGATATTCAGTTCTCTTGATCTTGTTTTTAAAGCCCTAGTAAAATGATAGGAGGGGTGTTTTTTTGTTAATATCTGCAGTGGATTTCATAGCACTGATTTATAGCTGTTCCCTGATGACATTTCATACTCGGTGCCTGAGACTGTGTAAATAAATTACACAAAAATGGATCTGTGGCATCATTAGCAGCACCCCCATTCCAAGGGGAGCCTCCAGTGAGCCTGTGTGTCTAATCAGAGCTGACAGGGAGCAGAGTTACACACCGAGACCTCCGAAGCTAATGGGTCTGTGCCAAATTCATCTCTCTGTTGTGCTGGTGTGAAGTTGGATAACCTCTGACTGCGAGGGGGGTTTTACACTGGATTTACGCTGCGTTTACACCTGTGCACTGAGGTTGGTGTCAGGCTTTGTGCCCTAAAACCCTGAGTAGTAAAATGATAGGAGGGGTGTTTTTTTGTTAATATCTGCAGTGGATTTCATAGCACTGATTTATAGCTGTTCCCTGATGACATTTCATACTCGGTGCCTGAGACTGTGTAAATAAATTACACAAAAATGGATCTGTGGCATCATTAGCAGCACCCCCATTCCAAGGGGAGCCTCCAGTGAGCCTGTGTGTCTAATCAGAGCTGACAGGGAGCAGAGTTACACACCGAGACCTCCGAAGCTAATGGGTCTGTGCCAAATTCATCTCTCTGTTGTGCTGGTGTGAAGTTGGATAACCTCTGACTGCGAGGGGGGTTTTACACTGGATTTACGCTGCGTTTACACCTGTGCACTGAGGTCGGTGTCAGGCTTTGTGCCCTCAAACCCTTCAAAGCAACGGCGAGATGCGTGCTGGCTTCAACAGGCTCTGGATCAGGCCTCGATGGTTAAAATATAATCTGAGTTCAGAGTGCAGAAAACAGATTACATGCCTGCTATTGTAGCGAAATGCTTTCCAGAGCAAGCATTAGCAGTATGTACACAAGTGCTGCATTTATTTTTTTTTCAGCTCCAGTAGAAGAGGATTGCTTTTAAACAACTTGCGCCTGCTGTGTCGTGTCTGGAGCTGGAGCTGAGCGGAGCCGCCGGGAGGGCACATGTGACAGGAGCCACGGTTGCAGGTCTGGTTGTGCTCAATTCCCCTGGTCTTCTGGGTCAGCCATGCACAGAAACATCAAGGCAGAGACAGAGGCTGTTAAAAGCTTTGGAGCTTTATTTTCTTAAACTCCCCTAGCTCCGTTTATGCCTTTTTCTCCAGCCACTCCCACAAAGCCTCTATCACAGCTCAGACGAGGTGACCTGGGGCATGATGCACCCCTTTTTTGTAACACCTTCCTCTGATTGTGCTGTGCTGCCAGGTGAATCGGAGACCTGCTGGGAATGGAGATGCTAATCTCAGTTCCTGAGAAGTGTAGAGCTGACTTGACAGTTGTACGGTTACTCTGGCCCTCATTGCAGAAGGGCTGAGGCTCACCGGTTTAAACTGCTGGCAGCACCAGCTGCCGTCAAGTTTAGGAGTCTAGGAACAAAGCGGTCAGGACGTTCTGTCTTTTATCTCTCCTCGTGACTGAAAATCCAGTCCTGACCAGTATCTAAAGAGAGCGTACATAGGTAGCTTATCTGCCCTGTGTTTTGCCTTTAAAATCTGTTTCTCTTCAATACCAAATAATTATTTTTTTTCTCTGGCAAACCTATGATTCTCCATAAAGTTTTACCTGCAAGTCCCTTATCCACTAGGTTTCAGGGTGTGACCAAGCTTCATTGCCTGAGAAGGTGCTTGTGTGGTTTTCACAGAGCCTTTGGGTCCTTGCAGCAAAATAAGGCAGATTTAGACCCAGAGGAGCTGTTGGAAAGCTTGGGTGGCTTAATGATTAACACCTTGCAATGCTATGGGAGCGTTAGGACAAAGCGACCTCTGGACTCTCACAGAAGAAGCCAGCCACTGGCCTTGCACCGAAACACACCCATTTACTAGAGAGAAGATTAACTCTCTCGGGTAATTTGAATGAGTTCTGTGATCCAGTGTGTTGCCTGGGCTGCTGCAGCCTCCTGGCACCCTGCCTTAATTGCCTGCACCATAATTGCCGTGAGCGGGAGAGCTGTGGATCACAAGGGTCTTTGATCCTGAGAAACCAGCAGTGAACTTGCTGCCAGTTAACGGAGGGAAGGAGAAATGCTGGGAGGGAATAGATGTCTGCACGTTGGCAGGGCCTGCCTTTCCTCTGTCAGGACAAGTGTCTGCCCTTAAGCACCTGAGAGCCTTTGGTCCACACTCATCTCTGTTGCATATAATGCTAATACTCAGTGGAGACTGGCTCAAATGGGCTTTCACAGACACGGCTGGCATCTTTGTCCGGATCTGAACTCCTATTTGGGCTCTAAATGTGATTTTAATGGATAATGAGAGAACCGAAAACTAAAGGAGGATGAAGCCTTGTGTTTGTTTGCTGTTTGGTGGGGAAGCCTCATTACTGGTCTCCCTGTGGCCACCAGCAGCAAAGGATCAGGCAGCCAGCAAGCCTGTTGTTTCTCCCAAGTCCATGCGTGATGCTGCAGAGACACATGTGGCAATGGGCAGCCAGAGAATGAGATCAGCATTTGGCTACCACAAGGAAGGGAGTTAGTGTAGTGAAAAGCTGTTCCACCCAGATACCCTGCTCTCTTCAGGACAGAGAGCAGCTTCCACAATTTGGAAAGGCATCAAATGCTGAGCAAATAGAAATGATGGCTTGCAAGTGACAAATCTATAGTGATGGAGGAGCTGGCTGGCAGAGCTCACCTTCCCTGCTGGAGGTGATAGGATTGCAGGGGAACCACAAGCTGACAAGTAGTTTGAACGTGACACTGTTCTTTCCTCCCTCCTGCCTGGGCAGAGGTTTGAAAATGCTGCCAATATGGCACCTTCATCTAAAGGAAACAGGAACTAGAGCACCGTGGTTGATGTTTTGGCCTCCCTACTCTCCCTGTCTCTCCTGCTAGTGTTTGCTTTCCCTTGCAGGTTGGAGGGTGCTGGCTGACCCAGCTCTTGAGCCCTTGCCAGTGTTGGCAGAGTGTGTACAAGCCCACCCCACCGAGCAGATTGACTCAGCCCGGCCACCCTGCGCAGAATGTCCCTTCGGGAGCACGCGCTGTCCCTCTTCCGCAGCGCGGTGGGCACCGTCCGGCCAGCTCCGATGCTGAAAAGGGCTGTGAAGCTCCAAGGAGATGGGTGCCCTCAGCTGCTGGTGAAGGGCCAGGCCTTTCCAGTTAAGAGGGACCTGTACCTGGTAGGTTTCGGCAAAGCTGTGCTGGGAATGGCTGCAGCAGCAGAAGAGATCCTGGGAGATCACCTCGTTCGGGGGATCATCAATGTGCCCCTAGGCATCCAGGAGAGCCTGCAGCGAGCAGGAATGCAGTAAGAGGGGGCTGTGTCTGGACAGTTTTTGGGGGATAGGCTGCCAGATTTATCCTCTGTGGGATGTTGCTGTGAATCCCTTCAGTCCTTTCCACTTGCCCTTGCTCTGGTGCCCACCCTGTCCACCACACTGCCCTGGTCTTCAACCTCCATCATGTCCCAGCAGACCAGGAAAACAGCCCATCTCTTGTGCTGGATGTGCTGCCTCCCCAGCCCTGGGGAAGAGACACTTAGCAAGAGGCCACCTCCCTGTCCTGGTCACTCACAGTGCACCTCTAGTGCACCAGGTCCGTTTGCCTGCAGAGTGACAGCCTGGCTGCCTGTGTAGGTGCATGTGTTAGTGGTGTAATTACCTCTCTTACCTCACCAGGGAGATGCTCCTGAAGCCACACAGCAAAATCCAAGTCATCGAAGGTGCCAAGAACAACCTCCCAGACCCAGAGGCTCTGAAGGGAGCAGTTGCCATCCAGGAGCTGGCTGAGGGTCTGACTGCAGATGACCTGCTCCTTGTGCTCATCTCAGGTAGCGTGGGGATCCCAGGGAAGGGGCTCTGCTGAGGGCCATCCAGCTGCCTGCCCACATGTGGCAGTGCAGCAGGGGAGCACTGTGCTGTGCCAGCTCTTACAGGACTGGCACTTACACCATGATTTTTCCTTTCTCCCTCTTCCTGCCAGCCTTTCTCCAGGGATGCAGCAGGGGAGGGCACAGGGCTACCTGTTGCAGTGGACATGGCACCTCCCAGCACTGAGGAGAGGCTGAGCTGCGCAGGCTGGTGGCTGTGGTGGTGCCACCACTGTGAGATGGCACCTCTGGGCACAGCCTGCCAGCTGCTCTCACCCCTTGGCAAGGAGGTGCTTTCTTCCTGCCCCCTCCTTACATTTGGGGATCTAGACTTGGAGAAGCAAGCACTTGGTGGGCTTGCATGCTGTGAATTTGTGCAGGGGTGTGAGTCTGTGAGCTGAGATTTGGGACTGACCCATCCCAGGGCTTTGCTGCTTCCCAGCCGGTGGAAACGAGGCCCCCAGGTTCCAAACCAGTGAGCTGTGTGTCCCCAACGCCCCCAGGCTCTGTCTGCTGGGCCCCTGGGCTGTCCCCAGACCCAGGGCTGTGTAAGGAAGGTGGATATTGTACATCAGAGGGATGCAGTGACATCACCCCAGGCTGAGCTCAGCTGGGTGAGTAGGTGTCACAGCGCAGAAGCACGCAGGGGCTCGGAGCAGCTCTGTATAAACCCTTTGGTCTCCTCAGCTCAGTGATTGTTCCTCTGTGGAGGCTGGAGCCTGATCTGGTGCAGAGAGCAGTGCCATTAGGCAATCACCCAAGCAACTGGAATCTAGCTGTGCTTGCTGGGGATTCCCCTGGGCTTCCTCCTGTCCTTTGGCTATGAGGATCTCCAAGAGACTCCTCAGCCCTTCAGGGAACCTGTACAGGATCTCCCCGCGGCTGCGGCTCCCTGTGCCTGCGCACACCCACACAGCAGCCGGTCCCCAACTGCTCCTGCCTCTCAGCTAGATCCCTGGCTATTGACTGAAACACAGGCATTTGCATTTGTTTTTCTTGCTCATCATGTTTTATTGATGCTGATTTGTCTCAAACCTCTGAGCAGGCTTTGCCTTTTGACAGTAGCTTTCAGCAGCGCTTCTGTGCACGTTCACTCTCTGCTCAGATCTTGCTCCTTTCTACTCTGTATTTTCCATCCATTCCACTTTTCCATTAGAACCATTTTTTCTTTGCCTTCTTTTCTGTGTTTCCAATGTCTGCTTGTATGCAACAGGATTCCCATGAATGAGGCTATCACCACAGACTCTGGGTGTGCTTTGTCCTTTGTGTTACTCTGTCCTCCTTTCCTTTCCTTTCCTCCCAGGCCCAGATAAGCGCAGTTCAGCAATTTCCGATCTTGCTGCAGCCATAGCTGGTGTTTTTACAGGCAGTCCTGAGTAAATGGAGCCAGCAAAGCAGGCAGTGGCTCCATCTGCTTAGCACTGACTGCTGTGCGAGTCGTGGAGCCCGTGCTCCCTGCTCACTCATCCAGGTAGCCCTTGAAAAATCAGGATGACGACACACGAGTAGCCTGATGTAGCGGGGAGAACAGTTGTTGGTCCTTCTCTCTCGTCCCCACAACACTGCAGGGATGTGATTACCCGGGTCCAGTGAGGTTTACACTGCCTGGGTGAAGCGTTGCTGACTGCAGACAGTGTGGGGCAGCAGCAAATAAAAGCCACTGGTGGAGAAGAGTGAATTCTCCAGAGATATTAGCATAGCTCCCAACCACCTCTGCCTTCCCCCTGCGCACTGGTGAGCGAAGAGGAGAGGCTCAAGCATTGAACAGTCTTGTGTTCCTCCTGTCCTCCTTTTCCTGCTGTCCTGATTGATGTTCTTGCCATCTCTTCTGCATTCTAGGAGGTGGCTCAGCCCTACTGCCTGCTCCCATTCCTCCCATCCTCCTCAAAGAGAAGGAGAAACTCACAAAGATGCTGGCTTCCCGAGGAGCTGCCATACAGGAGCTGAATATTGTCCGGAAGACTCTGTCCTTGCTGAAGGGTGGAGGGCTCGCCCGGCTTGCACATCCTGCACAGGTAACCAAAGGGAAGCCCTGCCCTCAAAATAGGGGTTTGATCAACTGACCTAGGTGTGCTTGCAGGGTTTTTTTCCTCACCGAGTGAGCAACCCTCACACACTGTTGTTGCTCAGATTTCATTGAGAACCCAAACTCTCAGGGAGACAGGTGGAGAACGGTGAATTTTGACTCTGCAAATATCAGCCATCCCATCACACCGCTCTCAGCAGACCCAGGCCCACACCCAGCAGGCACTTCCAACGTGCTGGTGCTCCACCACAGGGCTTTTGAGGCTGGGTCCAACCCTTGGCTCCTTCAAGGACTGTTCTCAGCGAGTGCCATCACTGAGCCCACACTGGGTTACCAGCCTGACAGCTGCAGTGGCACGGGCTACATCTTACAGTGTGGTGGTCAGCATCAAAGGATGCTTTAGATCTGTAAGTTTGGGAAGGGCAAGGTGACTCCCATGAGATCTTAAAACAAAAATGGGCCAAGATCTGCCCCTGTTTCCATTTGCTTTGACACGGGCATGGTAGGAGTGTAACCCAGAGCAGCGCTACGCCAGGGCTCTGGTGTGGCCACCTGCCTCTGCCTCCCACAATAATCTGCAGGTGTTTCTCTTGGTAGGTGGTGAGCCTCATCCTTTCTGATGTGATTGGTGACCCCCTGGACATCATAGCGAGTGGGCCCACTGTTGCCAGCTCCCACAGTGTCCAAGACTGCCTTCAGATACTCACCAAATACAACCTGCTGCACAACCTGCCCAAGTCAGTAGAAACGGTTCTGTCCAGCTCTCCCACCAAGCCCACTGCTCCAGAAGACTACTCCCACGTTTGCAACGTCATCATCGGATCGAACACGCTGGCTTTAGATGAGGCCAAACGCCAAGCTGAGGACCTGGGCTACGCCACTCTGATTCTGAGCACGGCCATCTGCGGGGAGGTCGGCCGTGTGGCCACTCTGTACTGCCAACTGGTCCAGCTGGTCTGCCTGGGCTTGGCCAGCCTCGGAGAAGGGCCTCGGGGTGAGGAGGTGAGAGGGAATCTCCTGCAGCTGGTGGCAGAGCTGGAGATCCCGGGGTTGAACCTTGCCAACTTTCTACAAGCCCTACAAGGATTAGGACCTGAGAGACCAGTCTGCATCCTGGCCGGTGGAGAAACCACGGTTCAGCTTCAAGGAACCGGCAAGGGAGGGAGGAACCAGGAGCTGGCCCTGCGTGTGGGGCTGGGGCTGCACAGGGCACAGGCCATGGAGACCAGCAGCCCCCTGAGGAGGTGTGAGATCATCTTCCTCAGTGGGGGAACAGATGGGCAGGACGGGCCGACAGAGGCGGCGGGGGCCTTCTGCAGCCCCGAGCTGGTGGAGGCAGCACTACAGGAGGGCCTCGACGTGGAGGCCTTTCTCAGCAACAATGACTCCTATACCTTCTTCAGCCAGTTCCAAGGTGGGCATCACCTCCTGGTGACAGGCTTGACGGGCACCAACGTCATGGACATCCAGGCCATTTTAGTTAGAGCCACAGAGAGATCATGAGAGCTCCCTCTGCAGATACCCAGGTGCATTTAATTAGGACTGGGGGTAAATGAAGGCATCAACACTGCAGGCCGATGTAAACTACTTAAATTAGGGCTTGCTGTCATGGCTGCTAATATCTTTGACAGAAAGAATCCACTAATTAAACACATGAGTGGACATCCACAGCAAAAGCAAGCACTTGTAATTGGGATCAGAGGAAGGTAAGAGGTCACCTAACGGACACAGAGGCCACATTTAACACTTCTGCTGAGAGCTGCCACTCCTGTGTCTGCTCCAGCTATAGATAAAAGACATGGGGAAGCGAGGCCAAGGTACGGCTGCCAGGGAGAGCCCTCACTGCAGCTGTGGCACCTCCAGTGCCCCCAGCTCAAAATCAGCTCATCAGGGGGGCTTTTGCAGGTTCACAGGAGTGCATCCCAGTGACTGAAGGACATAAAAGCAATAGCAAGGCCTGCCCAGCTGGAGGTATGGATGTGCTGGGCGGACGCGGTGGGGACACCCAACACCGTGCCAGCACAGTGCCCTGCAGTTCCTCTCACACCAGGGTACCTGAGGCAACGCAGACCCTGATCCCAGCACAACGCACACCCGGCAGTGCAGCTCAGGAGCACACTGGCCCAGAGCAGCATTTTGTCTCACACGGGTGACACAAAAGCAGTGCACAGTGACACAGAAGCTGGTATACCTTCACGGGGCAGCAAAAGGAAGGGGACGATAGGGGTGCAGCAGCAAGCCAGCTGAGTGGAGTCCTTCCTCCTCCAGACACCTTCCCCACTGATCCCACCAGGAGAGCCTCCACGCCAGCAGCACGGACGCTGTGAGCTATCACCGTGGTGTTTTCCAGCTGCCTAGAAAACAGTTGCACATCCAGCCTGAGCCACTGACCTTTCTCCTGCGCCGAGGCAGAAGTCGCTGTCACTCTGATTAACTCCACTAATTCCGCAGAACAAAAGGCAAAGAAACCTTCCTGCTCGGCTCTCCTGACCCACGCTGCTGAGCTGATCAAAGGGCAGAGCTGCCAGAGCCCTGCTTTGACAGGGAGCTGCTTCCCCGCATGTGTAAGGACGCGGTGGCTATCGCAGTTGCGTCACCCACTGCAGTGCAATATGTGGGAGAGCAGGGATGAGCCGGGTTTCCCAGGATGTGGAGCCCATGGTGGGGCTGGATTTCAGAAGGGCTCTGCCTGTAGCAACAGGCACGGTGATGGTTTTGGCTGGATATTCAAAGGACTTCAGCTCAGCAGCCAGTATGACCCAACACGTCCGACTCCTTTTGAGGATCTGCCTGTTTGTTACAGTGCCTGAGCGGGAGCTGAGCTCCTTTGAAAAATTGCAGCCCTAATTTAATAGGACACGCTTGACTCAGACTATTTCCAGACAGACAGACCTACTCCGTGTGGCTGATCTCATCTCGTGACACAAATACACCATCCTGCCAACACCACGAGTCATGGTGTCTCAGTGAAGAGTCGTTCTGCACCCTGCTCCTAGACGGAGCGGAGGGTGGATTTTTGAGGAGGATGCGACACCTCCTGCTTTGGTTTGGAAGCCAATTTTTAACAAGTAGGGATATCAGCAGGACCATCACGGGGCCCGGTATCCATGCCAGGCTGGCAGCTGGACAGTCTGGGCCACAGCCCAAGCGTAGTGTCAAGGCACAAGCCTGGGGATTTCAAAACCCTGGTCTTACCCCGGTGGTTTGAACTCATCCACGCATCTCATTTGTCCTCTGACTCTGAAGGTCTTCTGTAACATGCCTGAACTCGCTCGGGCTGGCAAGCAGCTTTGAGATCTGCTGGGTGGAACCTGCCAAGCGGTATAAAGCTCGCTGTGCCCCCATAATGTCAGGTGGAGGTTGCACAGGAGAAGCTGCTTTGTGCTGCGCGTTTTTCTCCGGAGGTGGCCAGGAGGTTTCGGAGCGTTTGGCGTTTTCCACATGCCCGGCGTGCCAGCACCACGGGGGCACTAACATGAGCAGCAGTACAGCCAAAAAGTATGGGCTGCGGCCAGGATGACTGGCTAAATCTGGCTCCAAAATGATTTTAAATGGTTCCTTGTCCAATTCTGCTCCAGAGTGACTCCGGTTTCGGGCTGGGGTGCCTGGCAGGAGGGTCACTGGCATCTTCAGCGGCAGATGCAGTGTGCCAGCCTGGGCATGCCATTACAGGCCTGCTGTCCCCTGTGCTCTGCCCACAGCCCCACCACACTGCTGAGCTGTGCCAGTCCTCAGGGCTGCTGCTTGCACCATGGCACTGTCGAGTCCAGAAGACCTTGGGCTCAGGCTCTCTGGCTTCTCCTGGGAAATGCCTGCGCTGATAATACCGCATGTACCCCGAGCTGTGTACTTGCTTTCTAAACAGCAACTTTTCACTAATGATTAAAAAAAAGAGTTTGTGTTGGGGAGGAGAGAAGGCTGATAAAAGGTTTGTTGAAAGGATGAAGCTGTTTGAAGTGCTCTTCACATCTACATTCGCTTGGCCTCCATGTGCAGCTTTTGTTCTTGTCCCTTCTTTTTTAATGAGGAAATAACAGGACAGGGGGAGGTTGACCAAGGACACCCAGGTTACAGAAACACTTTTCCTCTTCTGATGCTTCTACCTGGATAGAGCGAAGTTCCGTTTCTGATGGATTGCTTGGGTGGACCTCGTGCATCTTCTCCCTAGGGAGGAAAGGAGCTTTGGAGTGTGCGCAGCCCTTACAAACAAGGCGTCATTGTACTCCTCGGGATGACGCTCAGCACACAATTGTGTGTTACTGTTCCAGCCCAAAGCCAGTTCTGACCTGCAGTCCCTTTGCTGGCAGCAGAAGACCCCACACACAAGCCAGCACATATTTGGGCCACACTAGTTGGGTTTTGCAAAGATTTGTGCGATAAGAGTTGCCTCTAAAGACGCAGCAGCATCGCTTACCTGCCAAGTTCTGATTTGCCTCCAGGCTGTCGGAGCCTGCCAGGAGCAATGACCTTCCCATTGGGAACCTGAGTGAGTCACCACCACCGAGCAGGGCTTTGCAGCTTGCCTGAGACGTGCTGGATTGCAGGAGTGTACCCAGGCAAATGAAAATACCCAAAACTGGAGCTGTGGTCACGGTGACCCCAGCGTGTGGGCCATACTGGGACCACATCATCCTGGCTTCGGGGCGCTTGTACCTAAGGAGACAAGTCACAGAAAGAGTGAGAACACCAAGAGCTGCTTGGGTTTGGCACTTCCAGTCCCTGCCCTTTTTAGTGGAAAAGCAAAATTTCTACAGCAGCCAGCCTCCAGGAAGGAGATGGCCAACAGCTCCCTGGCCACATCCCCGTAGATGGGCAGTGGACAAAGGGACAGCCATTGGGAAAAGCCATGCCCAGCTGCTGGGTGGGGAGAGGGCGAGCAAAGCCCGGGTGTGTTTGGGGTCGATTTGCTCTCCTAAGCTGGCTGCTCGTAGCCAAACAGTGCTAATGGCCGGGCGAAGTGACTGCGTTATTAACAGCACGAGCTTTTGGCAGTAAATTAAAAATCTTGGCTGCCGCCCTTGGCTCTGCTCTTGCCTCTTAGGAGACATTAATATCACAGCTCCCCAGCATTCCCATTATCACTTCATTAAGGATCCAATAATGATAAATGTGGATGGTTTTATTTTGCACAGAGCCTGATTAATGGCTAATATTTCACTAGGTGTTAATGGGGCCCTTCCTTTATGGAGGGACTGGAATGGGGGCTGCCTTTCATCTCCTCCACAAGCCGGGTAATTTTCACTATTTTTGCTAATGTGACAGATTTAACGCAAACCTTGAAAGAGCGGCTGAGGCCTCTTGAGAAACTTTGAAGAGCATCGTGCTTGGGGGAGCCCTCGCTGCCACGGCTGTTCCCCAGCTCCTTCTTCCTCCTCCTCTTCTTCCTCCTCCTCCTCTGTTGTGCTGCTGGCAGTACCTCCTTCCAGTGCCCTCACCGGGAGGCTGTTACCCACCTCCAGGATAGCAGGGGGGCAAAAGCAAGGCAAGGGGGTGCCCGGGGACCTCCCCACCCTGGGGCTGGGCCCACCAGCACAGCTTCCAGGGTTCTCCACAAGAGAGATGCTGCAGAGATTTGGGCCACACTAGTTGGGTTTTGCAAAGATTTGTGCGATAAGAGTTGCCTCTAAAGACGCAGCAGCATCGCTTACCTGCCAAGTTCTGATTTGCCTCCAGGCTGTCGGAGCCTGCCAGGAGCAATGACCTTCCCATTGGGAACCTGAGTGAGTCACCACCACCGAGCAGGGCTTTGCAGCTTGCCTGAGACGTGCTGGATTGCAGGAGTGTACCCAGGCAAATGAAAATACCCAAAACTGGAGCTGTGGTCACGGTGACCCCAGCGTGTGGGCCATACTGGGACCACATCATCCTGGCTTCGGGGCGCTTGCACCTAAGGAGACAAGTCACAGAAAGAGTGAGAACACCAAGAGCTGCTTGGGTTTGGCACTTCCAGTCCCTGCCCTTTTTAGTGGAAAAGCAAAATTTCTACAGCAGCCAGCCTCCAGGAAGGAGATGGCCAACAGCTCCCTGGCCACATCCCCGTAGATGGGCAGTGGACAAAGGGACAGCCATTGGGAAAAGCCATGCCCAGCTGCTGGGTGGGGAGAGGGCGAGCAAAGCCCGGGTGTGTTTGGGGTCGATTTGCTCTCCTAAGCTGGCTGCTCGTAGCCAAACAGTGCTAATGGCCGGGCGAAGTGACTGCGTTATTAACAGCACGAGCTTTTGGCAGTAAATTAAAAATCTTGGCTGCCGCCCTTGGCTCTGCTCTTGCCTCTTAGGAGACATTAATATCACAGCTCCCCAGCATTCCCATTATCACTTCATTAAGGATCCAATAATGATAAATGTGGATGGTTTTATTTTGCACAGAGCCTGATTAATGGCTAATATTTCACTAGGTGTTAATGGGGCCCTTCCTTTATGGAGGGACTGGAATGGGGGCTGCCTTTCATCTCCTCCACAAGCCGGGTAATTTTCACTATTTTTGCTAATGTGACAGATTTAACGCAAACCTTGAAAGAGCGGCTGAGGCCTCTTGAGAAACTTTGAAGAGCATCGTGCTTGGGGGAGCCCTCGCTGCCACGGCTGTTCCCCAGCTCCTTCTTCCTCCTCCTCTTCTTCCTCCTCCTCCTCTGTTGTGCTGCTGGCAGTACCTCCTTCCAGTGCCCTCACCGGGAGGCTGTTACCCACCTCCAGGATAGCAGGGGGGCAAAAGCAAGGCAAGGGGGTGCCCGGGGACCTCCCCACCCTGGGGCTGGGCCCACCAGCACAGCTTCCAGGGTTCTCCACAAGAGAGATGCTGCAGAGTCAGGCCCATCCTTGCAAGGGGTGGGCTGGTGCTGGCCTCCTCCTAAAGTGGCTGGGCACCCCTCACCTGCCCCCCGAGAGGGCTGGGGAGCCTGGGATTCAGGACAGAGCCCTCCTCCAGCACCCCGGGGGCTCGCTTTGGTGGCTCCTCTGAGGCCAGGTCCCATGGCACAGAGGTTCTTCTCCGCTGTAGGACCCTGGTGTATTGCACGGCTTCAATCCCTATATGAAGTGGGATGTATAATCACATAGGAATAAAAAGCCATACAAGACAGCAGGCTGTGAGTAGCTCCACGCTGGCAGGGCGACAGGCCAGTCCCTCTGCAGCAGCGGCCACGGCCCCCGCCGGGATGGAGCTGGGCCCTGGGGAGCCCCCAGGAGCCTCCCCCCGGCCCCTTTGTGGGGTCCGTGGGGAGACAGAGGAGCCTTGCATCAAAGAGAGAAGAGAAGTGGTGTTTCAGCCAGGAGAAAGCGTGGGAGGTCCCAGCGCGCTGGAGAGGGAGTCCTGTGGAGCATCAGCACTTGCTCCCAGCTCACGGGGTCCCTCACCTCAGGTCTCCCCTTGGAGCTGACATAAGACTCACCCCGTGGTACACCCAGACCTTCCCTCTGCCCATTCCCATCCTGGAGCATCACCCCCCAGGGGCTCCTCCAGCCTGGGGACCCTCTGCTTGTACCACTGTCATCTCCAGGGCTTTATCAGCCCCACGAAGGCAAGGGGTACCACAGCCTCCAGCGCCATCAGAAACACCTCGTGGGGGGAGAAAAAGGAGCCAGCCCCCTTCCCTGTGGCGGTCAGAGCATCCTCAACCATCTGGCCAAGAAGAAGCAGCCCAGCAGGTGGAGCGAGCGGTTGTGGGGAGCTGTCAGCACCCAAATCCTCCAGCAGCCCATCAGGAGCAGCACCTGGCTGGGCCACCTGCAGCAGCAGCTCTTGATGGGGGGCCACGAACAAGCGTGGACCCTCCACTAAGAGGGTGGACGTGGGTAGAATGAGACCAGGGAGCCATTGCCCCAGTGAATGCTCACGGAGCAGTGCCAGGGGTGTGACGGGGGCAGGCTCCCACAGGAGCCCACCCAAGCCATGCTGGGGATAAAGCCAAGTGGTGGCCAGCAGAAAGGGGGTTTTGTGCTGTCTTCTCTCCTCCTGCCTTCCTCTGGAAGCTGCTCACATCCCAGCAGGGATTCTGGCATCCACGAGATGGGAGACCCGGAGCAGGGCCTGCAGCAGGAGGGGACAGGCTCATTCAACTCAGCCCAGACACACACTGAGAAGGGAACAGCTTCTTTTAGCTAAAAAGGAGCAAAGCAGCAATGCACAGCCATGCTCTGCTCACTGAGGGCACCAAAAAACCTCTTTTTGCTGGCCCAAGAGACCACAGCTGATCACCAGCCTCCAGCTGAGCACCACAACATTGCCTTGGGCAGCGCTGGAGGGGCTGAGTCATCCCAGAGTCATCACCCCAGGCTCCCCTTAACCCATGAGGAGGAACTTCAAGCTCCAGGCTGACTTTCCAAGCCACATCGCAGCACCAGAAAGCATCAACACCCTTCAAAACACACCCAGAAACTTTCCTCCATCCCCAGGGTCAGGGTTTCTCCAGGGGCTGGAGCAGCTCAGCAGGTTGGACTCCACACATCATACCTGGGATGCTCCTGTCCAGCCAGAAGCACAAGAGATGGGCAGGAGTCACCAGGTGAGGGTCCCCACGTCCCCTCCCTGAAGCAGTGCAGGGGCTGCCAGGCCCTGGGGCAAGGTGACATCCCATACAGCTGCCCCATGATGAGCTATTTGGAGAAAGGGGCCTTTTTTGGGGGCAAAACCTGGAGTGTTTGGCTTTCCACATCAGTATTTCATGAACTCCCACCCACCTGCTCCAAGAGCTGTGGAGAGGCAAGGGTTGACCCAGATTGCTGCCAAGTTTTGGGAGGACTGAGGGGTTGTCCCCACCATGGAGAGGGGCAGCCCCAGGTTTCTCTCAGCCAGGCTGTGCCACAGCTCTTCAAAAAAACACAAATACCACTGCTCGTTTTGGGAGGACTGAGGGGTTGTCCCCACCATGGAGAGGGGCAGCCCCAGGTTTCTCTCAGTCTTCAAAAAACACAAATCCCACCGCTCAGGGGGCTCAACCCAACGGAAATCCCCAGCAAAACCCACGCAGGAGGTGAGCTGTGATGGCCACCAGTGCGGCTGGGGGGAGACACACATGGGACCACACCACCAGGGGGAACCGGGCACGGTGATGGTGCCACCGGGTCCTCGATCGCCCCTTACCCACCTCCAAACCAAATCAGCAATTAAGGGATCGTCATTTGATGAATTGTATCAAAAGATGCATTTGTGAATCACTGTACCCAGGCTGGGTAAGAACACCGCCGGTGCTGTATTTGGGAGTAATTACTCTCCACGAGCATGTGAATCATTAGGTATAATTACCCTAATAAATAAAAGGAAGATAACTCCAGTCTCTCGCCTAATCTAGCACAAGCAATTTTCGGGGTGAGCTGCGTGAAAGAAACCCAGGAGTGTGAGACAGAGGGAGAGCAGAGAGAGGAGAGCTTCAGAACCTGGACGTCCCGTTAATCCCTCTCATAGCGATGGAGTCTCTCCTGCAGGTCCCCACCAGAGTTTGGTGGCAGAGGATTTGCCCTGGAGGACTCAGGTTTGGCTGCCATGGGGTTATCCGGGAGGACTCAGGTTTGGCTGCCATGGGGTTCCAGGACATGAGAGAGGAGAGCTTCAGAACCTGGACGTCCCGTTAATCCCTCTCATAGCGATGGAGTCTCTCCTGCAGGTCCCCACCAGAGTTTGGTGGCAGAGGATTTGCCCTGGAGGACTCAGGTTTGGCTGCCATGGGGTTATCCCTTCCCAGGACAGCATCCCACCAGAGCACCACTTCTCCTGGCTCGAGTTCCCCTGCTGTAAAAATGTCACCAAGTTAAAAAAAGGGATTTATTTGGGGGGTGACGGGGTGGGGGGCAACGGTTACTCGAGTCTAATGAAACCATTTTGCTTCTCCCCTGAGGAAATGCTGAAATAAAAAAACCCCACCAAACCTGAACCCACCCCACTCGAAGTTGACATTTTGAAACGAAGCAGCAATTTTCTTCTCCACTTAAAATGTCATCACAGACTTGTGCTTTAAAAAAAAGCAGCCTTCCCTGAGTGACATTTTAAGGGGAAATGTTGACTTAAAAGCAGAAGGAAACCCCCCAACCCGTGCACTGAAACATTTTGAGCTGCAGTTGAGACTTCTTGCAAGGAAATCGATATTTTTGGTGGGGAAAAAAAAAATTCCAAGTGACTACAGATCTTTTGCTGATTGAATTTCCCATGGGACGAACGCATCCTTAAGGGAGCAAGACACAGGGCTGCTCTTTGCCAGAGCTGCATGGAAAAGGCAGGAGCAGCATCACTGCCTCATCCCGGAGGAAACAGCATCCCAAATTCTGGCCAAATTTTCTCAAAAGCCTTGCAAAGCAAAGCAAAAAATTGGGAGCAGAGGCTGGTTTTGCCCTAGAGGGGTGGCGGGTGAGCAGTGCTGGCTCGGTGTTATAGGAGATGCCAGGGCAGGACCTGCCCCTGCCCAGCCCCAGGGAAGATGCTGAGGCGGGGAATCCCCCCTCGCTCCCCAGGGAGGAAGAGGATTGTGCCTCATCCCTTCTCTTCTTGCAAGAGGGGCTGGGCTCTGCCTAGAGATGCTCCATGAGACCTGGCTGTGCCACCTCCTCCTGCAGCCCTTCTGCT